TGATAAATATTAAGGCAAGAAGCAAGCGTCAGCATAGCCCTAGTTGTTTGCAATATCCTATGTCAGGATATTTTGCATTCCCTGGCTGGTGCCCTCATGCAGTGGGATGCTGGCTCACCCCGTGTTAGCACAGCTTCACAGGGAGTTTGATTAAATGGGTGCTGGGAGCTGCTTCTCCTCATGGGGGGCTCCATTCCCAGCCTCACACCCAGCCCACACGTTCTCTGGGGCCTCTCTGCTGTCATTTGCTGAGTGCTTTAATAATTCATAATGCAACTTGCAGCCCCCGTTTACCAAAGCACACAGTGGGACTGAAGCACTCTGAGTGCTTTGTTGTGGCGAGGCTGTAGAGGTGATGTTCTCCTGGGGTGTCTTTGTGCTGTGGCTTTGCTTATTCGGGTGTTAATTCCCTTGGCAGTGTTTATGGGATAAACATGCTTCTCATGAGGGGTGGGGACAGACTTCAGAGGGGATGGTACAGGGTGTTCTTAGTGAGCCTGAGTGTTAACCAGAGAGCTGCTTGGTTTTCTTGGTGCTGCAGCTAGCTCCACTTCTATATCGAGCACCCACAGCCAAGCTGCAGCTTTCCCTTGTGCTCATTGGGAGAGCCTGTGTTTCCATGGCTCCTGGGTGAAATATTGAGCCTGGCAGCCCCATGCAGTGGAGAGCAGCAGCAGAAAAACCTGCTGTGTCTGTGTGTGCTGTGGTGCTGGCACCAGTCTGGCTCCAGGACAGCCACTGGCCGAAGCACTGTGCTGGAGGCAGCAGTGACATCTCCTCCAGTGCTGAGCCTCTGGGGCAGCCAACAGTGTCATCATGCAGAAGTAAATTTTGGTGGAGTCAGCAAGTTATACCTGGGTTTGCACCCTTGGAATGGTCCTGGTGATGTGGTAACAACCACCCCACACCACAGGCCAGAGCAGGGCTCCTGCTCCCTTGGATGGCCTTGGGAAACAGAATCTCACATTTCTTCATTAGGAGAAAGTCGGGGCTGCATGGTGGGGTCTCACCTCGTGTGCTCTTCCAGACTGCAGCTCTCTTGGGTTATTAGCTGTGTTCCCAGATGAAACACTTCATTAAGCAGGAGCTGCAACAGCAGCACGTAAATACTGGCAGCTCATGGATGGGTGTAGCTCTGGGATGGCAAATGACCTCAGGACACGAGGGTTGGTGCCACCTTCGCCCCATCCAGGGCAGTGTGGGAGCAGGAATCTGGAGACAGCCTGCATGTGCCTGGGCACCCACTGCCTTTGGGTGCCAGGGAAACCCTCCAGTGCCAGAGCCTGCCCCAGTCACCCTCTCCTGTGATGACATAGCAAGAGTTTTCTTCTTCTCCAGTCTAAAACTTTCATTGCAGGAGTCAGCAGACCTGGAGAATAATGTGTTCCCTCCTCTTTGCAAGCATTTTTTTCTGCCTTTGAAGGTTGTTACTATATCCCCTTCAGCTTTCTCTGCTCTAGACTAAACAACCTCTGCTCTTTAAAACTTTATTCCCAGGTCATGTTTTCTAGATGAAATTTTTTTTGACAAATGGTTATTGCTATCCCCTGATCTCACTGCGGTCAGACTGGAGCACTCTTGGCTTGCTCCCACTATGCCTCCTGAGGTCTTGTGACTCCACAGAGAGCCATAGAGAGGGACATTTTGAGACCTTAGAAAGACTAATCTGGGCCTAGCCCTGCTCATGATGCCTTGGCATAAATGTCAAATTCAGCCTGGAGACACCTTTATGTTCTGCAAGGATTCTAAATTGCATCCTGGACCTGTAACCTGCTGTGGGCACTAGCAGAGCCATGCAGAGCTCTCAGTGCCTTCAGCTGGAAAAGCAGAGCTTTGCTCCTGAGCAAGTGGAATAAATCCTTCGCTGTCACCCTGAGGAGATAAAATAAAGTTTCTCTGTCCCAGCTGCACGGCTTGCTCGGTCGCTTCCAAGTATGGCTCCCAAAAAAAAAGGCTTGTGCATGTGCAACCTGCCCAGTCTACCTGGGAAGACGCATTTTGCCCTCAGCATAGAGCCTTTTCCACTCTGTCACATGGAGATATGAAGCCACTGGATGTTGGAATGGCTTTGCATCAGAGCCTCCTGAGCACAGGCTCCATCACACCCTGAGTTCTGTGTGCTGGCAACAGTGATGGACATGTTCAGTGCTGGATTCCTCTTACAATCAGCATTTCCACAGCAAATCAAGATCTCAGAATGTTTGTGCTTAATTATAATCAAGCTGTCTGAATGATCAGCCAGAAACATCCCCATGACTGATTAAACCTCGCACTCCGAGCATGAGCCATTCACGTGGTCACAGGATCTTTGTCTGAACTCACTGCCCCGTGCTGCCTTCTAAGGGGAAGAGACTAAAGCACTCATGGTTGTCTGCTGGAGGTGTGTGGGGAGCTGCAGACCCCTCTCCTGCACAGACTTAACCAGTGAAGCTCTGGCTCTGCCCTTCCCGAGCTGGAGCACCTTGCTTATCACATCTTGCTTTACTCCACACAAAATGAAACAGGTTTCCCTCCTGGTCATCCTGCTTGATCTTGGCCACATCATTCCTCTCTGTGATGTGAAGGACACAGATATGTCTTGTTTAATTCAAAAATACTGTTTCACTCTTGCCATGTCTCCAGTGCTTGTGCCCAGACACTCGTTCTGTTCTTGCTGGATGCAGGAGCACAGGAGGGAGATGGCAGTGAGGGGCAGCTGAGACCCACGGGTGCCATCTGATGTGGCTGGAGCTGGGAGCAAAGCACCAGCTCACACCACACCCCTGTGAGTGAGGCAAGGTCAGCCCCTTTTTAATGGTGCTGCCAGAATCGATGTGTTGATGGCACAGAAGCATCCTGTGGTGCTGGAGCTGTGTTTCTGCACGGCGCTGCTGTTGCTCGTTCTTCTTGTGGAGCTGCAGCGGCTCCCTTAATGAAGTGCTGCATAAATGTCACGGAGGGCTCATTTTCCTTGGTGTCAGCTATTGTGTGACAGATGTGATTAAGGCCACATTGGGCTGTCAACAGCCATGATTCTCATTGTGATCAGCTCTGCCGGCAGTCCCGCTGTTGCTCCAGCTTTTCAGGAAGTCTTTGTGCATGTTCCCGAGTTGCTTTTCCCTCCCCTGGGGCTGCTGGAATCCTCCACAGTGGCACAGGAGGGACATGGGGAGCAGTGCCTGTTGTGACAGATACCTCTGCTGGGTTCACAGGCAGAAAATTGCAGCTCCAGCGAGGAGGAGAAACATGATGGGAATGTGGAGTGTGGGGGGACAGGTCTTTAAAGGGGACAGGAAGGGCAGTGGGTGGGGTTGGGCTTGCTCCCTCAAAGTCAGTGTGACTTAGGGAGGAAAAAAGAAAGCATGAAGTTGATTTGAAAAGTGTTTCCTTTAAAAAAAAAATGTGGCTTTCTCTTCTTTTTAACCCAGCCTCTCCCCCTTCCTGTGGCGTTCAGGGATCCTTCACTTTACCTTCCTCTGTAATCATAAACTCTAAAAACATCCCCATTAACAACAGAAAAACAAAGAAGCTGGGACTCAGGGAGCAAAACCAAACCCTGTGGAGGCCAGTAATGGCTAAAGCTCTCCCTGATATCACCAAAAGCAGGATTTGGAAAACTCTGCCCAGTTTTGCAGGATCTGTTGATCTTTCCAAGGCCGAGCCCAAGGAAACCCTAAAGCAGCTCCTGAATGGGGTTAGTGACAGCAACCCTTGTTCTTGTTCAGGTTTAGCAGCAGCAGCTAATGTGAGAGGAGCCGAGCTCTTGATGAAATGCAAACAGCTTTTGTTAAGGGAAAAAAGGCTTTATTCTTCAATTGTGGGCTGGGTTGTTATTTTTTATAATTAATTTACAAAGTCATAAGTTGTTGGTGATTGCATAAAGGCTGTGTGTCATGTTGGAAATTCTGCTGACGGTGCTGTGTTGGGTCTGCACCGCGATGTTGTCGGAGAGGGACGGGGAGAAGGGTGCCAAAGCAAACATTCCACGTTTGATTTGGGGTGGAACGGGCTTTCTTTGAAATAACTTGCGAAACATCTTGTCCTGAGCTTGCAATGCAACCAGTGACTGCTGCCAGTTGTCAAGCCAACAGGAATAGCCAGAAAATAGTCAGGAAACACCCATGAAACAGGCCAAGGACTAGGGCACCGTGGGGCGCATTGAGTTTCTTGTTGACAGGCAGGTGCTGAGCAGACACCCCACTTCTTCCCTTCTGCCAGGTGAAGGCTTCCTGGGCTGAAGGAAAGCACCTTGCAGGAGCTCAGTGCTCATTGGCACATTGGAGAGGTCTAATGGGTCACCTTCCCAAGCAGGGCAGCCCATCAAGGTGGAGCTCACGTTTCTGGCTCCTGCCCATGCACAACTCACTGGATATCTGCAGGGATAGTCTGGCCATCCCATTGTCCTGCTGCTCACAGGGAGCTCCAGCAGACCCTCTGGTGCTCGGGTGTTTCCTTGCTTCCTGGGAAACCCAACTGCAGCTTTGGTCTCTGCACGGGTGTCATTCAGGGGACCTGTGAGGTGCAGCATAGTGACAGCCCTGAATTAACTCAGTGGCCGTGTTTTCATCTGCCACTGACATTGTTTAGTCCTCCAAAATGTGTTGTCATTGCAGAAGGTGTGAGTGCTGGATCATGGCACCCTAGTTAGCTCGGCGTGCAGGAGGCCTCAGGTTACCTCTGATGCATGATTTCTCCCTGGCATCGTTGGTTATTCCTATCAAGTCGCAGACAGTGTAGACATATGGGAAAGGAAGTTGTGAAAAGCAGCTTGGAGTCCAACTCAAAACACCTTAAATTGGTGTGATTTCCCCAAAGGAGGAACTGCCTGCTCTTTAAAAAAAAAATTAAAGTCCTCTTCTCTCTTCTTAAAAAGGGCTCTTCAGGACAGGATCAATACCACTGAGTTACTTTTTAAAGCAAAAGTCTTGGACCAAAACCAGCCTCCACCCTGCATCTTGGCTGACAGAAAATTCTCTTTCTTAATTTTTTTTTTTTTTTCCCTTTACCCTTTTCCTGTAAAGGCCTCTCAGCAGACGGCGGAGCCAAGCGCCAGGAGCACCTCTCCAGGTTCTCCATGCCTGACCTGAGCAAAGACTCGGGCATGAACGTCTCGGAGAAGATGAGCAACATGGGCACCCTGAACTCCTCCATGCAGTTCCGCAGCGCCGAGTCCGTGCGCAGCCTGCTGTCGGCGCAGCAGTACCAGGACATGGAGCCCACCCTGCACGACCTCGCCAGCCCCCTGGGCTACCAAGAGCGGCCGGCGCACGGGCGGATGCACCAGAGCTTCGACTACGGCAGCGGGGTGCCCGGGGGCAAGCTGGGGGCGCAGGAGATCCCCAGGCACACCCCCATGAGCGAGCGCACGCGCCGCAGAACCGTGCTCCGCGACGACGACCGGCACTACCGCCCGCACCGGCCCCGGCGCTCCCGGCGCTCCCGCTCCGACAACGCCCTGCACCTGGCCAGCGAGCAGTGCTACCGCCTGAAGGAGAGACCCTCGCTCCGAGCCAGGGACGACTACGACCCGTTTGTGCACCAGAGGAGCTGCAGGGAGACGATGGAGCAGGGTCCCTGCAGGGATGTCTACGGCCACTGTCCCCGGACGGTGTCGGATCTTGCCTTGCAGAACCACTTGGGCGAGAGATGGGGGCCCTACTTTGCCGAGTACGACTGGTGCTCCACCTGCTCCTCCTCCTCGGAGTCCGACAACGAGGGCTATTTCCTCGGGGAGCCCATTCCGCAGCCTGCCCGCCTCCGGTACGTGACCAGCGAGGAGCTGCTGCACAAGTACGGCTCGTACAGCATGCCCAAGTCTTCCACGGTGGGGGCCAGGGGACAGTTGCACAGCCGGAAAAGACAGAAGAGCAAGAACTGTATCATATCCTAATGGCATCCTTGCCAGGCACCTTGGGAGAATGTAAATTAACTCACCATCTTGCACTGTTTTAGATCATGTAAGTGCTTTTATTGTAACAAAAAAAAAAGGCCCGAAGAGTAGGGATTTGTTAAGAAGGTTGTAGACCGGCTTCTATAAATAGTCATAATCCTGGGCACAGTGAATATATTTTGCACATCTTACTTTGGAGATAAAAATTTTAAAAGTTCACTTTAGCCTGTAATATTTACCCAGTAGTTTCTCTTCCTTCTCCCAGATACTGCCACCCCCTTGAGCTCTGTTTGTCCGTACGTTTTGGTTGCCACTGTTGACTCTCAGCAGCAGTTTGCTGGTAGGTTTTGCTTTCCACCACAGTTTTGTTTTCCATTAGCCATGTTGGTAGGTGATTTGTCTCTTGGACAGTGTGGGAGCCTAAGTTATTTCCATGATTGTTGTAAATGCGATGTAAATGAGAGTTTGGAGAAAATATTTTTGTATTTTGTAATATCAGAGGAATTTCTATATCTTAGGAGTCACTGGGAAAATGCATGCACGTTCAGAATTGTTTTCAGTCAGAGCTAACCAAACAGTGCTTTGGAACCCCCTTTCCATTTCATCATCACTTAAGTTTATCAGTGAGAGTCTGAGTTTTTATTGGTTTTGAGGGTTTTTTTTGTTTTAACCTTTTTTTTCTGTTTATTTGTTTTGGTCCTGGCCAATAAACAATGTTTTTTGATTCATTAAATCTTGACAAGCCTCAGTGGCATTTTGAATCCTATGATTTGCAGGTACACTCCATCAGTCAGATACAGGAACCCCTGACAGCTGCAAAAGGGCCTTTTAAAAAAATTATTATTATTATTATTATTATTAAATAGGAAAGACCAGAACTACCAAATGTCTGCAACATTGTAAATTACCAAAGCTGGAGAAGGAATTTCACACCTCTGTAGAGAACGCTGAAGTTACTAAACATTGAACTATTATTTGGAGTAAATAAAGTGTAAATGGTGCAATTGTGTGATGTCAGCATGACGTTGTTTTGAATATAGACTTGTCTTATGGTGCTCTAGTCTCCTGGGTTAACTGCTGTTCATTACCAAGTGGAAGTCTCAGTATTGCCTCCTGCCTACGACATGTGAGAACACCTGCAAACTGCTCCCCGTGGGCCCCTCCTGCCTGGCGAGATTCCCTGGCCCCTCTGGGGCTGTCTGAGGCCAGGGCTGTCCCCTGGGGGGCTCAGCCCAGCCCCTCGCCGTGGCAGAGGGCCCCTGCATAGGGCTCAGCTGTGTTGTATTCTGGTGGATGTGAGTTTGTTCTCTGTGTGCTTTAATCCATTGGGGTTCTGCCATCCCAGCTGCAAGCCAAGGCCAGGTTGTCCCGGTGCTTCCCATAAAGGAGCAAGTTTGCAAAAGGGGCTTTTGGCATCCAGGGCACCTGTGGGGTTAAGATAAGGCTGGGCTTTGAGCCACAGGAGGGCTGAGAGCTTAAGCAGCTGCACTGCCCTCGCCCCATGTGCTGCTGGCACCTCAGGGTGTCCCTGCACCTTGGGGACAGCCCCTCCCTGCACCCTGGGAATGTGGATCCCGCTGCAGGGATGGCACTGGCAGCCCTGGGCACACACAGGGACACCCCCATGCCTACTCAAAGCAGCAGATGCAGAAAAATCTAGAAGATGGATGTCTCCATACCACAGACTATTGCTAGGAATTTTTTTTGTTGTTTGTAAAGGACAATGTGATAATTATTATTCCTTTAAAAAGAAAAAAAAAAGAGATGATACTTAAATATATTTAAAAAAATGTTTTTTCCAGTTGGAATAAATGGAAATATTCATCCAAAGGGAAGAGTCTTGTGTACATTTTTTGCTCTTAAGGAGTGTTGGTTAATCATGAGTAGAAAACTTGATTTTTACTGAGCTGGTCTTGCAATGAAAGCACAAAAACCAGCTCAGCTCCATCGTTGGCATGGTTTTGGTGGAGGAGCTTCTCCTGCACACCACACATCTTCCCCAGGGTTGGTGACCCACTGTTGTAACACCTGGACCCATTATTTGTTGTTTAAAAAGCCACATCATAGATTCATTCAGGCTGGAAAAAAACTCTAAAATCTTTGAGCAAGAACAACCCAACAGCACCATGTTCACCACTAAAGGATATTCCCAAGAGCCATATCCACACACCTTTTGAAGTCTTGACCTGGTGAAAGCCAGCACAGCTCAGCTGAAATCCCTGCTGGGCCTCTGGCATACTAGGGGAGACTATCAACCTAAAATGTATAAATAACAGCCTTTTCTTAGAAGTTCACAGATCTTTCCATGTTTTCCAAAACAGACCTGTTAAGCTGGATAGGGGTATTGCTTACAGCAACAAATATGACACTGTAACTATAGGTTATTCTATAATTGGAATTTAATATGTACAGTTTAATTCATTGTCAGTGATTAAAAGCCCAACGAGTGTCTGTCAGCTCTGGTACAGCTGAGCTGCTCTTGTGCAGCAGGAGCTTGGATTGCTCAGGAAATGGTAAAAAATTAATCCCAGCCTTTCCCCTTTCCCTGCTTGCTGCCTCTCCCCAGGGGTAACAGGACAACTTTAGAGACTCCTTGCAGCAGAATTGCAGCACTCTGCACATGCAGTTTTTCTACTAAAATCCCAGGTACAGTGGCTCTGTTCACACAATGGTTTTGCTGCTGGAAGCAGCTCTTGGTTCTCCTCACTGCAGAGCATCTCTGCATCCCTGCAATGCACCCCAGTTTTAATGCAGTGCTGGAATTGGAACAGATGGGCAACAAACAGGGGAAAAAAGAGTGATCTTCTCTTCTGATGGATCCTTCACCAGCCCCACAGAAAAGTGGCAGATCACATTTTCTAGGAAAGTCAAAGTTGGTACAAATTTCAGCAATAAATGCAAATGCATCTTCCAAACTTTTGATTTTTCATATGGGCTCCAGAAGTCCAGTACACTTTGAGGCACATTATTGAAAAACAAAAAAGAAGGTTTTTTTTTTTTTAGAAGTCCAGTACACTTTGAGGCACATGATTGAAAAAGAAAAGGGTTTTTTTTTCTGCTTAGCCCACTTGGAGTATGATTAACCATTTCTGACAAACCCACTGAGCTTGAGGGATGGAGCTGCAAGTCTGTAAAATCTTGTTCCATTGCCATCTGGCCCTGCTGATTCCCCTCTGTGTGCCCATGGAAGCGGGGCCCAGGTGCTGACGTTTGCTTTTGTGTCTCCAGAACTGATGAAGGTGACCCCACCCAAAGCTCAGGGTGAGTGTCAGAGGCTCCCAGTTCCCCTGGGGTCACCAGCAGCGTCCCTGGTTGGGCCAAGCAGAAAGCTTTTTGCTGGGCTCCTCCATACAGCTGTGTTGCCAGAGCCAGCCTGGCACGCTGTCATTGTTGCTTACAAAAATAATTAAATCTGATCAGGTCTATTGCTACCACAATTTTCTTCTGTAAAATATCTCTTTTTTCCCCCTTTTTTTTCCTCCAGAAATTCCTTGGCAAAACCCACCCAGTGTTAGCATGGGATGGGCTGGTGTTAACCTCCACGGCAAAGCCAAGGTTTGCATCACATGCTTGGCCATGACTCGTGTGATGGTGGGAGCACAGCATCCTTCACACCCATGTTCCCCAGCAGACATGGGAGGCTCTAAGGTCCCTGCAACACCTGAAACACCCCAGCATGACAACATGTTGGCCCAAAAACCACTAGAGCTGTGCAGGGAAGCTTCTAGCACACCTAAGGCTTTTTTTTTTTTTTTTTTCAGGAAGCCAAAAGCCTTGAACCTGGCAGATACAGCATAATGAGATGAGCAAAGCCTCTGCAGAAAGATCAGAAGTGTAAAGTTAGAAATGTTCAGCAGCAAGTTGTCTGGAAGTTATCATCCACAGATAATCCCACGTTTGCTAAAGGCCCAAGAGACTCTGGCATAGCCCAAAGCACTCTGGCTTTGAAAGCCTAGTTGCTTATGAAGGGAGGGACAGCATTGCTGAGTGGAGGGTTAATAAATTACCTCAGTTTGGCGAAGACCAACTGCTCCTGAGAAACAGACACACATTTACCCTCACAGTTTTATACCCAAAAAATCCATGCCTATGCGGTATGGGGCTGGCAGCACCCACCTGGCACTGCTGCTGTGCCCCCTCCCCAGCTCTCAGCTAGTCTGGGCTCCTGGGCTTTGAACTGCCCTGGTATCTGATGAACTTTGCTCTTTCAGGCTAAAAAAAGCTCCCAGTTCCTTGCATTTACATACAATTATGCTATTCCTGAAATCTAGGCTGTCCTCGTTCTCCTGAAGATTATCTGCCACTTATTAGATGACCATCCTCCATGTCCAGAAAAGCTCATTAACTTACAGCAATTCCAGAGGATTTTATTTTAAAGATTAGCCTTTTTTTTTTCTTTTTTTATGCAATACACTTTTAACCTAGATCCTTAAAACTATTCAGGAACTCAGATGTGATTTGAGTACAAAGGGCAGTCACTGGAGAGCTGGGGCCCCTTTTCAAAAGCGTCCGCAAGTTTGTCCGAATCTCTGAGGAGGGAAGAAAAATTAAAGAGTTCAAATGATTTGAATTTGCTGCCTCTGCCCATCAACAATGGACTCCAGTGTTGTGCTGTGTGTTCCCTCTGTGTTAAAGCATCAGCTTCATCTGCAGCCAGCCTTCATCCTCAGCTGGGAGGAGCAGAGGAAGCCAGGTTAAAGGTTTACCCACCTATGGGACACGGGCTCTTAGGTCAGTGACCAAAAGCAGCCCCACCTTTCTGCTTCTTCACTTCTTAGTATGCACTCAGCAAATTACCAGTTTCCTTGTTCTGGGCAAACCCAGTCAGTTGCTAAAGCATTCTCAGGAGAGCTTTCCCCTTGTAAAAGCAAATATTTATATCTGCTGTGCTCTTAGAGGCTCTGGATATGATCAACTCTTAAGGCAAGATTTAGCTGAAAGAGATGATTTATTAAAATGGATAAACAAAGCCCTGTGAAGCAAGTTAATTCAGTCTAAATAAAGCATTAAACTCTGAAGAGCACACATCAGATCACAGTATATGTCTGTATGTATGTATATCCCATGTAATTCCTGCAGCCAAGAGCACAGCCCTCTGGCCTGGGATCCCAAACCAACACCCAGGAGAAAGCAGCCCTGAGCCAGGCTGGCTGTGCATCAGGCAGTGACACACCAGCACATGCCCTGCTCTCTGCCAA